CCCTCCTACACTGTTGGTGGGACTATAAATTGGTGCAGCCATTATAGAAAGTAGTATGGAGTTTCCTCAAACAACTACACATAGAACTGCCATATAATCCAGCAATCCTATTGCTGGGTGTACATCCAAAGAAATGGAAATCATCATGCCAGAGGGATACTTGCACTCCCATGTTTACTGTAGCTCTATTTACAATAGCTAAGAGTTGGAACCAAACCAAATGTTCACTGACAGATGATTGGATAAGTAAAACGTGGTATATGTACACAATGGAATATTACTTCCCCGTAAAAAGGGACACAATTCTGCCATTTGCAGTGACATAGATGAATTTAGAGAAAATTATGTTAAGTAAAATAAGCCTGGTATAGAATGAGAAGTACCATATGTGTTTAATAATAAGTGGGAGCTGAGGGAAAAAAAATAAACAGATAAAAAAAGAAAGAAAGTTACAACAATAACAAAAATTCATTGAGCTTTCAAAACGAGAGAACATAACTGAGGTGGCCAGAGGTGGGAAAGAGGGAGGGAGAGGAGGGATTAGGGAGAAATTGGTAAAGGGCCACAAAAAACAACATCGTGTAATGATAAAATTAATTTTTTTTTTTAAATCAAGACTTTCAAAAAAAGGAAAAAAAATAAAGCCAAGGCTAGTTAAAGAATGAATATACTGGGGAAATCAACACTAATCGTGTAATGATAAAATTAATTTTTTTTTTTTAAATCAAGACTTTCAAAAAAAGGGAAAAAAAATAAAGCCAAGGCTAGTTAAAGAATGAATATACTGGGGAAATCAACACTAATCAATGCAATATAACATAGAATTACTATATTAGTATATTATGAATACTCAACAATATAATTTTTAAAAAGTATTCATCTGGCAATTTAGGTACCTGTCCCACTGGCTATTTATCATGTAAAATAATATTTTGGAATTTAGATTTTTAAGATAAAAGGAATTTAGACTCTAAGTCTATTTTATATAATATTCAGCAAACTATGGAAATAAAGATCTATTTGATAAAAATTATGTTACTCGATCAGTTTCTATCATTGTTATGAAGAAAGTTTAACCAAAGTCTACTTAGAATTCATTAATTTATTCAACAACTAACTTTTCAACCATTACACAAATGGTCTCTAATTATCTTACAAGTGAATAAATTTCTTGGTTTAAATGCCTCTAATGCTGAAGAAGACTCACATTAGATTTTTCTGAAAGCCTTTCAATATTTGAGAGTAACTGGAAATCTCCCCCTTCAATTTTCCTTCCGTTATGTTGAGAATCCTTAACTCTAATCTTGAGCCGTTCCTCATGCAAACTGCTTTCATGCTCCCTTAGCATTTTGATTGCTTTTTCAGAGGCATACATTAATTTGTCAGGAAGCAGCTGAAAATGTGCTGGCCAAAAGAGAAACGTGTACATCATGTAAAGCTTAGCAAACAAAGCAAGAAGAAAAATTAGCATCACCATGACTCTATCAATTGATAGAGATCAATTAATTGATAGAGAAATTGATTGCTCTCTATCAATGAAATTTGCTCATTTTAGCTTTTTCTGAGTCACACACATTATACTGTTGGCTTATAATAAGTTTGCTATCAAATAAAACCTAAATTCTACCACACTCACACCAACTCTTGTCTGCATGTTGTCATGGCACACTTCAGCTATCCTTTTCATAAATAATTACCTTTTGAGCTTAAATGTCAGATTTTGTATTTATTTCTCTAAATATAGTAAGAAAAATAGTAGCAACTGCTTATATAGTACTTACTATACACTAGGCAATTTCTTAACATGTTACGTATATTACTTTAAAATGTAATGTCCTTAGCTTTTATTCCCAACTTTCTATAGTCCTGTTAGAACACTCTCAACAATTTCTACAATTTGTATGATAAATTAAAAGGAGTAAAAATGATAGTTGCTATTTACTAAGCATTATATTTCAAGCATTGTGTTAAGTTTATTATGTTTTTCATTATCTTACTTAATTTTTCCCCAAGATTTATGATGTAGGTAATATTACAATACTCACTTTGCACACAGGGAATTGAAACTTGTTGTATTTAAGTAACTTGATCCTAATTTTACTGGTAATAAGTATCAGAGTTAAATGATAGTTGCTATTTACTAAGCATTATATTTCAAGCGTTGTGTTAAGTTTACTATGTTTTTCATTATCTTACTTAATTTTTCCCCAAGATTTATGATGTAGGTAATATTATAATACTCACTTTGCACACAGGGAAATTGAAACTTGTTGTATTTAAGTAACTTGATCCTAATTTTACTGGTAATAAGTATCAGAGTCAGAATTCAAACCAGGTCTTTTTTTTCCTAATACAGGACTCTCAACCACATGCTGTGCTTATCAATTACCTGGAAGTTTATAGGAACAAACAATTACATGAATGTCCAAAACTGGCTGAGATCACTGCCAGTACAGGAATACAGCATAAGTGAAATTACAGTTTTGAATACAGTGGTTCTTAACCCTCCCTCCCTCCCTCCCTCCCTTCATTCCTTCCAAAGGAAAGAAGTAGTCAGTAGCTAAGGATGAGAGACTAAATAGGGGGTACTGTCAACAGTTTGGAAATCAGGCCAAAAAAGGACACTATCTGAAATGAAAACAGGAAGTATCAATATTTGGAGTTGTCTAAGTTTTATGGTTCTATAGTTGATTATACTCTTTAACCCAATTACCATTTACTGAACTTTCTGCATATGATATGGGGTACAAATTCAATTCAATTTTCTTTGTTTTCCATATGAAGAATCCATTATCACAATATAATTTTATAAATAAAATATCCTTTTCCCACTGATCTACAAGGCCTATGCTGGCATAAACCAATTTATTACATATTCAGGGGTCTGTCTGTGATCTCTTGTCAGTACTATCAGCCTGTTTGTCCATCTCTGTGCTATTACCACACATTGCCATAATTTAGTATTGATTTAAAGTAAGTCTTTACATCTAGTGGGTGGGAACATCTTGATGTTCCCCTTGGCCTTCACTCTCCCTCAGATATGTTTTATTCAGTTTGTTATAATTATAAAACAAAATCATGCTGTAATTTTTGTTAGAATTGCTTTGGATTTGTGGCGAACTTAAACCTTACAATATTAAGTCTTTCTAGAGCAAAATATATCTCACCACTTATTTTTGGTCTTCTGTTATACCTTTCAGTAAAGACTCATAATTTTCCCCACAAAAGATGCACACATATTTTGTAGATTTATTCTTTGCTCTTATAAGAAATAAAGTGAACAAACTAAAAATGAAAAACTCTTTTTTAACTCCATCAGAAAATTGAGGTCACAGGGCAAACTGCCACCCAAAAACTAGAAGGAGAGGCAAACACAGAGAATCACAGCTTACCAGGAGAATTTTAAGATACTTTTTAATATCTTTAATATATTTCAATATATTTCATCTAGGCTTTACCCCAATCGAGCATATAATTCAGGCTTTATATTCTGATATATTTATATTTATATTTTATTCTGCCATCTGTCAAGAAAAGGAATCTTTTTCCATCATTTTTCCTCAAAGTCTACAATGCTTTTTAACATGTATCTAATTTTTCCTGTTACTATGCACTATGTGATGACTAATTTCATTTACAAGAAGAGTGCTTATTGGACAAAAGACATGAATATTCCACTTATTGGGAAAATACAAGCTCTATTACTTATCAATTTATTGGTATAATGCTTTGTTAACTGTTTTTTGACAGTGTAAATTGTACAGATGGTAAAACTTTTTTGTTAAGTAAAAAATCTGATGGACAAATTTAAATGATGATGAATACCAATTTCATGAGCTTGGCCTAAAGCTGCTTCATCTCTGATTTCTCTTATCTGCAGAAATAAGTTGCAAAAGACAATAATCTAGTAGCATGGTATCTAGGAAGATAGCATAAGAATATAAAAAAACACCGAAAAATGTTCTCCAAATAACCAAAATAAGCTCAAATGACATTTCTAGTTACATAGATAGAAAACAAATATATTGAGTTTTTAATTTTATCCTTAAACATGCATGAAGGGTTATTTTACACAATGTATAAGAATTATAAAATTCTCTCTCCTATTCCTGTAATTTGATAGAGATGATTCCTGATATTCTATCCTCTCCCCAAAGTATCTTTCTTTTCCCCTACTCATTGGTTTACCAAGTTCTTTCTCTTCCTATGGGTCTCAGCCAAAAGGCTATTTCTTTAGGGACATCTTCCCTGGTTTCCTAGAATGGGTTGACTGACCCTGGTTTATACTTCTCTTACATCCTGTCCCTTTCTTTTCATAACAGGCATCACATTTATACGTTGTTTAACTTCTCCAAATCACTGTAAATTCCATGAGGATAGACAGTCCCCATGTTTTACTCACTGCTATATGCTCAGGGCCTAGCATTGTTCTTTGTTCATACTGGGACTCAATAAGCACTTGTTCAATGAATAAATATGAACATCTCCATTAACAACAATTGTCACTCTGTGTTAGAAGAGATTTTGTATCACTGGAGACAAAACAAGAAAGGATGAATCACTTGCATAATTACAAAAAGGATAAAAAGTAAAATGATTAGACTGATACAAAAAGTTAATTAATAAATTCAAAAACATTTTGTTTAAATGACAATTATTTATATAACGATTACCTGACTATTTTTTAGATTATGAGTACTTGTCAAAGAATGCAATGTGTTAGAATAGTCATCTCACAGCCCTTCAGAACACTGGCACTCATTCAAAAAGGTGGAAGACATAGTTTACAGAAAGAAACCAAGTGTTCCAAGAATGTTAACAAAGTCCCCAAATGGACAATGTATTCTCCTCTCAAATGCAGTTTTAAGTCCTTATGTTAACAACATCACTATATGCTAACATGTAGTCAATGCGCAGAAGACAGAAAAAAGGTCAAGACAAATAGCAAAATAAGAAGAAAAAATGGGAGAAAAAGGGAAATTCATCACTAGTTCCTATACCTGTAAGTGATGTGCTTGTGCTGCCACTTCTGTCCTGTTAATGCATATCGCTTTCGGCGAATATTAAATTTGGAGCTTCCTCTTGTCTGGTCAGGTACACCACATCGAGGCTTCTTCATCCAACTGTAAAAAGTTATTTATCAACAGTTATCCAGTTATTTACCAACAACCTTAATCATTAATTTCAGAAGGAAATCAATTAAGAGGTTCAGTATTATCCAGTTATTTACCAACAACCTTAATCATTAATTTCAGAAGGAAATCAATTAAGAGGTTACTCTGAGACAGTGATTATGCAAACAGCCAACAGGTAAGTAAAAACTCAATTTTCTTGCAATTTGAATCTAAGTAGATAGCATATTTTTTCTGAATGATCAAAAAAATCCCTAGTTTACTACTCAGATCCTTTATATAATTTTCCTCTCTCTGATTCATTTTGAGCTAACTGTAGACTAAAGCACTCTAAAGCTTCTAACCAGAATCTGGTGTTAATAATATATATAACCTTGGGCAAGACATTAATCCCTAGTGTCATTCATAAAATGAGATTAAGGTGTCGTCCACCTTTAACATTCAAGAATTATTTTAATCTACTATATAACTTTAAATCCAGGAGTCAGTAGGGAATATGCTACTCCCTTGTGGCTTACATAGCAGTGAATATTTGTTCTAATAACATTTGCATTTCTCTACTTTTTTCTTCTTTTCATCTGATCATGATTCCTATCTCTGAGAAGTAGCCATTTGCTTTGGATCTTTAATAATAACCAAACTCAATGCATGACATATTTTTTTTCTGAATATGAGGTTTACCATCACAAGAATAAGGTTTAACATATTTATATTAGGAAATGATATGATGTTTCAATTTATTAATTTTAATTCTTATACAGATATAGTAGTCTAATATCTTTTCTAAAGAGCCTCATTTGAACATTGTTATGTTTTTTATCTATTCTTAAATCTTGTCTAAGGAGATGAATTTTCAGATTTTAAGCAGTTTTACTTTAGTGCCTTACATAATGGCTTTACTGTTCATTAGTCCCTTTAACTTGATAAGTACAAAGCTAATGCAGAATATTTGTGGTGTTATATGATTCAGAAAATGGAAAAGAAAAAAGAATCAAGTTTTGCTGCATTTCACCAAACACTTAATTTCTATATATTTTAAATGGAAACGAATTTAATATAGAGATGACACCCAGTAATGTAGACATTGCAGTTATCAGATATAATGAATTCCATTCTAGTTTAAATGCATTGTAGAGTTACTTCAGAAAATCACCTTTCTCCTTTATTAAAGTCTCCAAATCAAATGAGATGTCATGTAAATACTAACTCTTAGGAGGCTGACCAGCCCTGTGGAATTGAACTCTGGAGCTGAGACTGGAGACCTCTTATTTTTAACTAACACTCCCAGCACATTACTAAACCCACTTAATTTGAGAGATATTTCACTATACTTAGGCAGGGGATCTACATACTCCCAGTACCCTGCACAATTCCTGGCATAGAAGAGATATTCAATGAGTATCCATTAAATAGATAGAAAGGAACACTTCACTTTTTAAGGAAAGATGATTATTTTTACTGCATATTTTAAGACCTAGATACATATTTTACTAACAAATATTAACCATTAGCAGTTTGCCTGTGATTATTTAAGTTGCTTTTACATGTGGGTATGTCATTGATTATATTCTCAAAAAATTTATAATATTCCTAAGGTAGATACTTATCCTTATGTCACTCAAAGTACTGGGAGAATAAACACGTAATCATAAGACAAGAATACACTTACTTAATGTGGGATGCAGTTACACATACATTGATCTAAGGAAAATATTTAAGTAAGTGCCCTGGGAAGAGAAATAATTTTGAAATGGATAGCTGGATAAAAATGGACAAAATAGAATTAGCTATAATCAGGATAAAATGTATTTTCAATGACAATATATTCTCTAAAATCAATATATGTAAAATTAAAAGATGAAGGCAATAATTAAAAATTTTAAATTTATTAATATACACTTTCATTTTAAGTCATGCATATTTTGGGACCAGTAAAAGTTTTCTCAATGAATTTTGTGCATGTTCCAAAGGACAGGGTTTTTAGGGATAAATGTTAGATTCCTGTGCTAAAAGATATGTCTGCTAATTTATGTATTACTTAGGCTTCTGCACACTTCATAGTTTTTTTTTCTTCTTATGTTCCAACTATTTGTTCATTCAATTATTCATTTCATCATGATTCATTCATCCTATAATATTTTTGAGCTTTTACAACATGCTAAAAGATATGAAAGAAAGTAGGGATAAAAAAGAAACAAGGCAAGTGTCCCTTGCTTGCTGAGATCCCAGTTGATAGGTAAGACATGCATAATAAAAAGTTACAATGTAACGGGATAAGTGCTCTCACATCTCCATCTAGCTATCCTGTCATCATCTCTAACGTTACATGTAGTTAAAAAGAAAATCATGATTTTGCTACCCCAGACTTGTACCAATTTATCTAATGCCTTATCACAGCCGAAAGCCTGTACACCTTCTAATGCCCATGCCTGCTATCCAGGTATCATCCTCCCCTACTTTCTGCTAACATTCAGTCTACCACAGCGTAGTCTCTTCTGCCTTCAGAATGTCTCTTGTATCTCTTACTGCGTCTGAATTATGTGCATGTTCCAAAGGACAGGGTTTTTAGGGATAAATGTTAGATTCCTGTGCTAAAAGATATGTCTGCTAATTTATGTATTACTCAGGCTTCTGCACACTTCATAGTTTTTTTTTTCTTCTTATGTTCCAACTATTTGTTCATTCAATTATGCATTTCATCATGATTCATTCATCCTATAATATTTTTGAGCTTTTACAACATGCTAAAAGATATGAAAGAAAGTAGGGATAAAAAAGAAACAAGGCAAGTGTCCCTTGCTTGCTGAGATCCCAGTTGATAGGTAAGACATGCATAATAAAAAGTTACAATGTAACGGGATAAGTGCTCTCACATCTCCATCTAGCTATCCTGTCATCATCTCTAACGTTACATGTAGTTAAAAAGAAAATCATGATTTTGCTACCCCAGACTTGTACCAATTTATCTAATGCCTTATCACAGCCGAAAGCCTGTACACCTTCTAATGCCCATGCCTGCTATCCAGGTATCATCCTCCCCTACTTTCTGCTAACATTCAGTCTACCACAGCTTTTATTCAGACAAAGTCTGGCAATTGGATTCATTTCTAGTTGCCACAAGATCAATATGAATTTATTATGTACCAAAATATTAGTTACATTCAAATATCAATTTGGTAAATACCATATATACCTGTACACAAAAGCAGGAATTAATATATAGTTTGTTTATTACCAACTGGCAACTTGGCAAAATCTAGTTGTCACCTTTATTAACCTTTCCATAATGCATTAGTTTCTGGCAGTGCTTTTTTATGAAAGTGTCCAGTTTGCTGCTCAAATGTACTTATTTTCACTGTGTCAACACACAACTCACAGACATGTCCTTTTTTTTGACTGACTCATTTGTTGAGAATATTAAGTTGATATTCCAAAGTAAATAAAGACACAAGGATGGGGCACTGCTGGGTGGAGGGGATGGAGGGTGAACTACAAGAAAGGCATTTTGTCGTTATCAAGGTGTAAATAACAGTGATTTTTGTAAATATATCAGTGATTTTCAAAATTGATTTAATTTTTTGCAACCCAGAGCATTTTTAAATTCATTGATCAGATCATTAATGGCCTCATTTAAATTAATTTGACTTGAAAGGAAAACAACTAAACTCCATGCTCTTGAGAGGAGTGTGAAAGTTGAGAACAGGGATCTGGGGTCATACTGTAGGGTCCCACCCCAGCTCCACTGACTCACTAGCCCTATGACATCAGACAGGTTGTTGTTTCTTTTTATACCTCAGTTTCCTCATCTATCAAATGGAAATGATAACATTACCTCCCATATTGAGTTATTTTGAGGATTAAATTATTTAAAGAAAGCAAAAGACTTAGAATAGTGCCTAGCAGCTAGTAACTGCTATTATTATTAACTTATAATTATACTAATTATTGTTTTACAAATATCAGGAATTAGTTGGACTAGTGGTAGTAGGAGTAGAAGCAACAGCAGCATACAGATATCAACATGTTTCAGCTCACTTTGACTTTTATCTTAACAAGCAATATTTTAAGATATTCAAAACAGGGGGTCTTCCCAGAAATACCAACAGCTATACTATCCTCTACTTTGTGTAAACAAGCTTTGAAACAAGTTTGCAGTATATGTATACTAGTTATACATACACAGCATATGAAAAAGTACCCATTAGTTTCAGTAAAATACATTTTTTAAAAAACTATGTTGGGCACTCATGCCAAACTAGGGCCAACTACTGCACGACTCCAAAAAGTGTCTTCAAGTTGTAGTGCCTGAACATGGTGCTCCTTAGCGGTGCTACAGGAAGGCAGCTCTTTAATAGAACATGATGGGAATACTACGCCCTTGCAGTTGAAGTTGAACCACATAGTGGCTGTATACAAATACACCCACTATTACCAAGAAAAAGAAAAGTGCCCCCAAATATATTTTTGTGTCTTATCAGTTAGTATTCTAAGAACAATATTCATTAGCACAATATGTTAAACAGGTTTCCATCCTCCAGATTTTCCAAGTTTTAATAAAAGGTGAAGGGCGCACGGACGAAGGAATCACGCGAGACCCGGGCTAACAGTTCGCCAGAGAAGTTCCGCTTTATTCAAGGACTGTGCGTACATTTATAGGGAGCTGCAGTTCCGGGGTTGGATAGGGGGGTGGATGGGGCAGTAGCTGATTGGACTGGCTGAGGTTTGGCAGGATGGGCTTGGGTGTTGGTGCCGATAGGCTTGTTTACTGCGGAGAAGAACCCGGAAGGGCGCCATTTTGCTAGGGAATGCTTTTCCCCCTCCGCTTGAGTGCCCACGGTATCCTTACATTCGAGTGCCTACAGTATCCTTACATTATCTTTACAAAAGGTAAGAGTAATATTATCTATTATTTATAGTTATCCCCAAGGGATCCTTCTAGAAATTTTAAAATATGCTTATTTTAGCTACTTTAAAAATTCTTAGGTTTTATTCATATTCAGAGAGTCAACTCCAGTAGTCATGAGCAGATTTTTAGAAGGAAATAAACTTAGGGCTCAAAACATTTATGGCTGGCAGCTCGCTCTGGTCCAGAGTTTCTTTTTTCTGTCAACTCATTAGTTGCCTGCATGGACACGTGTGTTATTCACAAAGCTGAAATGGCAAAGCAAAAGTACCCAAACACCTGAGCGCAGAGAACTGTATCAAGCCACAATGATCTTCAATGCGAACAAAAGTTGAGTTAGTGTCTGCTGCAATTAATGCTTTCACCTTTCACCTTTCAGAATGGGAATATAAGGCCCCTGCTCATTTAACTATCAACCAGCCTTCTATAGCCACCAAAAGGAGGACTGATCTATCCTATAATGTTATAATGTTTGAGCACCATTGGTATATTCAGAAAAAAAAAAAGTACTTTAATTACTGAAGAACATATATTTTATATACAAATTGAAAAAGATAGAATATTAACTTCATTTAGATAAAAGAATAAAAATCATGAAACATTGATAATTAAGACAAAAATGTTGGCATTCTTGATATATCTAAATAAGTATTTCAATTATCAAATTAGAAGTCCAAATACCACTATAGTTTTACAATTTTTTAAAAAAATTGCTCCCTATTCAGCCTTAAATTAATTTCAGTTAAGTTGAATAGGGCATTGTTTGAATAAATTAAGCAGAATTACTTAGATCATCCAATATATTAAAAGATAATATATACACACATATATATATACATATATTGATGGAGATCAAAAAGAAAGATTCACCATTTTAAGAATATATTGTCAAGCATGCTTCAGTGTATACCACTGTGTACATATATATGATAAACTAAAATGAAAAAATTACTATTATAAAGGCATATCAGATTCATTTTCATTATTGCCTTGCTACTTCTCTCCTTGCTAAATATAACCTTTTTATGCATAATATAGATTGCTCCATTCATTAAGGAATTTAAGTGAGCTTACTTACAAAAATTAGCTAACAACCTATAATTTAAAAGAATCATTGCAACATGAGATAAAGAACTCATATCATTGGGGAATAAGTATTTATTATTATCTCTCTAATACCATTGCTAACTAATATAAAAGCAATATAATTTGCCATTTAAGGTAATACCTAAATTTGTTGCTTGAAAATAGTTAATTTCTTCAATATAATATAGGGATTACCACGATAGTCAACACTACTTTTAATTACCCAGGAATTATAGATTGAATATACCACATGTCTGTCTGCCTGCCAAAGGTATTAATTTAAAACAATGGATCTTGATAAGTCTAAAATTAGACATAAGTTTATAGAATCTGAAAATGGATGATATAATTTTAATTCTGAGTAACAATTTGGGTCAATAACTATAGTCCATATTTCACATAATGAGGCTCAGATAAAAAGCCATACCTTATAATTTGACTATGTAAAATAACAGAGTGTGGTTTCAGCATGAATTGTTACCACATATTCATTTGAGATCACAAAAGCACAGACAATTGCTTTAATAGCATGATTATGAGGGTTATACTTCCAAAAATGGTACTCTATTTGAGCTGAGTGCCCTGAGCAATAACACCTCAAGAGTAGAGATAACATCACTAGAAAAGACAGGCAGGAGGCAAATGAAGCCACGGGGTTTCTAGTTCGAGTGATAATGAAGGTGAAGTCTGCAAGTAGACATAGGAGCAGAGAAGTCCTGGCAGGCTAGCAAGGGAAGAAGAGGAGGGTTTTAACAAGGCTTTAGTGGTTTCACTTAGAATTAGAACAAGGCTCTGTTTAACAAAAACAAACAAAACACCCACCAAAACCAAAAAAATAAAAATAAAAAAGCAAAAAACAAGCAAACAAACAAAAAACACTTTGGTTTTAAATGATGGACGTTGCCTGTATATTGATCCTTCTCTATAATGCCATATCACAGAAATGCTACTTAACTCTTCCGCATAGACACCATCATTTCTCCTGATCTAGAATCTGAGCCACCCTGTGCCCCCCAAAAGACCTGTGTCCTTCTCTACACCTCTGCATTTTTTATATCCTCCTGCCAGAGAACAACAAACTTTTCAGACCCCTTTCTACATGACAGGCCCAAATAAATCCTGCACACATTTCTCTTCCAATGTCTCCTGACAAAGACCTTTTCCCAGATGCTTTAGGAAATCAAACCTAGCCATCCTGAGTCCTTCCAGTGACCGACAGGAGCTCTCAAAACTGGGTGAACTGCAGATGCCACCTTCTTTAAGACTATACTTTCTTAATTGTAATACCTACTAATAAGTATTAAGTACTTCATACTATTATTCTGGCACTCTTCAAGTTAGACATTCAAACAATTTAAGGTAACGTATTTCCCAAGTCATCAATTTATTTGTATTTTTAAGAATTGTGTCATATTTTCCAAGAAAGTGAATCAGAAGCTAATTGCTCTCCATTCATGGAACAAGAAAGCTGTCCACAGCACATTGTAAAATGTTGGAATGAAGAGTATAATTTAAATGGAATTCTGTAATATACACAGCAACAAAATGCAGGAACTGCTGAAGATCTTGGCTTATTAACTTAAAACTATATTTATTTAGGACAAGGGGTATATTGTGAATTAAAATGAAAGTTTGATATTACATTATTAAGAGAGAATTGAAATGATTAGAGGGCAGCAGATTCAAAATGTCCAAATTCTATCCCCAATATTGATAAAAAGCTTCTAATTGTTGCAGAATGCATTATATTTATTCTTGAATGCATTTTCCAGTATATAGATCAAAGTTAATATTTATGCATCTCTTAAAAGTGCTAGGAGAGGTAATGTATTTATTTTAAACTGATTTAAAGTTTTATCTTAAGGCTTTCATTATGTGCTTTCCTGTCTCAATGAAATAGAAATACTATGACATCATTCTGTAAGCATTAGAAGGCAAATATAATTTCAAAATTATACATTATATGTGAAAATTAAGTATGTCTGAGTGCTGGCATTGAAGATTTAAAAAAAATGTTTCCTGAGGTACACAACAGTGAAAGTTCCCTAGACTAAATGTCAAATGACCTGGGTTTTGTAGCTACTCTTGACTTCACTTAACCTTTGACATTCACTTCCTTTATTGAGAAAGTAGAGAGAAAAGTTGTTGTGGAGGCTTGATATATGATTACCAAACTAAATAATGGAAATAGATTCACTTTGTATCAAAAACTCTAAAAACACAAATGATTTTTCTCTTCACAGAAAGAATTAATCACTTCCTCCTTTATTGTCCAAAAACAATAATGCTGCTTCATAAAAACACAGAAATTACTGTGTGCCTCTGATAAAAATAGTTTGTGACTATGTCTAGCTATGCAGACAACAAAGCTGCTTTGAAGAACAGATTGTGTCTTCTGAATCTGTATATGCCTCTTTTTGCAGATAAAGTCTCCAGGAATGACTTACTGGTTGAATAAATAAAAGAAGGTATGATTGATGAATCAGTCAATAACAAACATTATTAAAGACTAAGAACAAGCCCTTTATTAATAAGAAATTGAAAGTAGAGACTTTCTAGTGCAAATCCTTTCTTGATTTAGTGCACTTAGAGAATTGTCATCAGTGGCAAGTTGGGAAAGTGCTAACAACCAATTCTCTGATACTGCCTCTCCCATCCAAAATAAGAGCCCTGATTTGTATCCTTTCCCAAATTCCATGGTGTAAATATTTCCATTATGGTCAATTTCAAGCTACTAATGTGATACTAATTAACAGAGATTTGGGAATAGATGTGCACAACATAGTGCTGCCAGTCAACAAACCAGCTCACTGTTACTCTTGTAGTGGCTTCAATTGTACACCCAGTTTGACGCTTGTTCCTATTTTCTTTCCTGTTTTGAAGATGTGTTGCTAAAATCAGGACAGTAAACTTCACTTTGAGCCTTAAATGTTTTATAAAATTATAGAGGAATGAAACTAAAACAGGTTAAATTCCAAAGAAAAGTTAAATAAGACAAATGATTCCATGTGTGATTGGTGGAGTGCATGTAAGGTTTTTCAGACTGCTTAGTTTGGCTCCAGGACCAAAAAGGAAAGGAGTATGGGTGCCATTACTTACTCAATTGTGTTTCTGTCCACTTTTCCTGTCATGTTAATGCCATAGAACTGCTGCATGGCAGCTAGGGCAGACTGCATGGTCTCTGCAGAGCGCAGCACTGACATTCTGGGGTCAGTCGGTGGAAGGTAGCCGTACTTTTGTAACCAGCAATAATATTATTTATTATAAAAATTCGACACCTACTGTCATGAAATATGTCAAAAATTAGAAGGGTGGATCTAGATTTTTAATAATACACATGTGTCATTACTCTTAACTGAACAGTTTTTTGTAACACTTTGTTTGCATTCATTTCTTACTTAATGGAGAGCTGACTTGTTGCTAGGTTACTTATGGGTGCTAAGCTACTGAGAATTACATTTAAAAGGACAGCAAGGAGAAAACCATCAATAATAAACCCTATGATTTATATACAAATAGGAGGACTATGAAAATATATAAATGTTAAGTGTATGATGAAAAATAGCATATTCTAGAAAATACATATTTGATTTATGCCTTAGCCTTTCAAACAAACGATTTCAAATAATCTAAAAAGTGAACTGTGGTTTTCTTCAACTTCTCTTTTATGTTATGTTGTTTATTATGTTAAGCTGTTTTTCCAAATAATTGAGAAGTGGGCAATTTTTTTTAATTGTAAAATGTCAGGAAAGCTATGAGATCTATGATTTTATAATTAAAGTTTGTTTCCTAGCTGACAAATCATGTCATTGAAATACTAATTTACAAACTTACAGTATCCTATTTGATAAAAAAGTTAAATCTACAAAGTAATATTTGAAGGTACTCCTTACACCTTACTCCTAATCTACAATCTTAGGTTAATGATTTGGTATGTAGTCTTTGTATCTTTTTCAGTGTTCACAAAATGCATTTTGAGATATGTATGGGGGTGTGTATGTGTGTGTGTACACATATATGCATATATATCATATATATCATATATATCACAGATCATACCGTAGACATCCTTCCATATATGTTGTTTTTGAAATATATCCCTGTTTACAACATTGTTCTAAAATATTGCCTCTTCTGTATGATTGGAAATCCTAAATTTGTGTCCTGAATTTTTTTGTGTCTTGATATCTCTTTAATGTTTTCACATGCACATTATGAATTGTTAAGGAATAATTTCCTCATGCGTGCATTTGGAAGAAATGATATTTAATTTGTAGGGTCTGTGTAAGGATTGAGAATATATAAAGCCTCCAGCATAATTCTTGCTTGGTAAATGATATTATTAATATATAACATATTATTATTATAATTATTATATTATTGCCCTACATTCTCAAAATTGCTCCTGCTCAAGTTAAGATTTGTCCTTGGAATACAAATGAGGTTTACACAGTCATAGTTGTGAAAAAAGACAAACAACACAGGGTAAATAATCTCATACTGCTTGAAAATTCCCCAAATCTCAAAACAAAGAAAGTGTGAAAAATTTGGCCAATTGTTTTTTGTTTTGTTTTATTGTGCTCACTGATTGACAAGTGCAAATGAGAGTACTGAAAAAAAATCAAAGGATAAAAACTTTTCTTCAAGACAAAACTTGACTCATTTTTCTATCTGGGACTTAGCTCATTTCGTTATCACTAGAATAACCAACCACAGAACTTCAAAAGGAGCAACAAACTAAACTTGCATAATATTCCCTGTGTTACTAACTCATTCAAACATCTTGCTACTTTTAGACAAAACCAATTTCCTGCACTAACGGATTATTCATTGGAGAAACAAACAGAAGATTGCAGAAGATTGCCGTTGTCTGCAGAGCATGAAGACATATCACACAATAAAAGATAAACACTTAAATATTAAATGCTGTGCCAGTGGAGATTGCCTTTAGTATAGTATAGTATAGTATAAATAGAGAGTAGCAGACACAGAAAATTTAACAAAACCCATTAGAGAAAACCGTCTTTGTCACTAATATTACATGGACCCATACTGTGAAAACCTCCATTAACTGACTCAAGTTATTCACACATATATTAAGCAGTACCTTGAAAGATGCTTATCAAAAAAAATAAAAGAGGAGACATTAGTAGTTCTCATGACTAATAGCAAAACAAAGTAGTGACTATTTAGAATACATATTCTTATTTATTCCTTCAAGTCAGTACTTGAGGCTAACAAATTTATCACTGCCTTAATATAAAGCTAGATATTCATTTGCTCAGATGAATCATAAATGCAAGGATAATTTTAAAACTCCCCTATGGACAGGACATAACATATAGAGAAGGCAACTTGAAACGGTGACCCTGAAATAACTGCAAGGTGCTCAGGCATCTTTCCAAAAAAGAAAAAAAATATGTGTGTGTGTGTGTGTGTGTGTGTGTGTGTGTGTGTGTGTGTGTATAAGTGATTAAACTACTGAACTTACTAGGGCTGGAAGGGATGTCTTTTAGAAAATATGGAACTCACTGAAGTGGAATGTAAGGAAGGATAGTTTTGAAATTTTACTTAACCTGAAAAACCACTTTGCCAGTCCACAATGAGTATTTGTGACTGAGCCAGTTATTTCTGGTTATTTCAAGTATAGCTCTAGCTAAGAAGTAATATGGCAAATGCAATTTCCTTGTACCCAGTGATCATAAGATCCAAAGTATAATACTCAGTATAAAACAAAAGGACAAAGGTGATAAATACATTTCATAGCATTTATTTACTTAGAATCACTTCTATTTACATGATTATATAAACATTTTTAATATTTTAGGAAATAATTTTTTAAAAGTATTGATTCCATATCTAATTTTAACATACTAATAAAAATATTTAAATCTATAACAGTTAACATATACACTGATATAATTAACTGATTTTCTCATATGAAATACAACTGAAAAAACACATTTTTCATAGGTAAGTTCTCAATGTTATAAAAAGTTAATTTCCATTTTTCAGTGTGAGACTTCTGAACACATTATTAAAATCTGTTATAAACTAAAATTAACAAACAAAGAGTGATTATCCCCCCCCCCCCCATTTTGTGGTATCATCAGCAAAGTCAGCAAAAGCTTAAGGACATTTTTTCCTGAAATACCATATATTCACTGGTTATAAAGAATGGTTGGATGTAGGGCCTATGTTTTCTAATCTGAAAAGTTGTTATAAATATGAATTATAACTACCTATTAACCAAAAAATTAAATTGATGTGGCAGTAGTCATTCAGAATTGGCCAAATTGAAAATTCATAAGATAAGTTAATGAGGCAGAAATTAGCCTTTCTCTTCACTCAAAAACATAAATGGGCTACAAATCATCATTCCATCCCCACCATGAATGATGAAATTGCACATATAGAATTCAATTCCCTTAGAATTTTACTGTCTGTTAAATAGCCTTCTTAAAATGGAAATGAAACAGTGGAAGGATCAAAAGCTACTCTACTAAACATCTTATCAATCAAGAGGCAACTGTCATTTGGACAAGGAGACAGGAAAACAGCTGGGTTATGAGTAAAAGTTGTGATGACCACCATGACCACGTTTTTCACCTTACCATTAAACTCTCTCATTTATGTTAGAAACTAAAAACGTAGGGTGTAAAGAATGGGAGAGTTTTTTCCATTCTGTATAAAAAAATGAATTGTACCTTGTCATTAGTAAGTATGAGAGCAAAACCCCTCAAGTAGTAATGGCTGAGCTCCAGTGATAAAAAAAAAAAACAGCAGCACCCTTAATTGGAATCTCATTAGGTGCTAATCATTGTGCTGGAAAGTGACAGAGGACTATGACATACTGTCTCCTTCTGTCTTTGCTGTTCTTTCTAAGTATGTTTACAATTTTAAAGATGTATATATAGTGTGCACACATGCACACATACAACTGGTGATAAACAATATCAAAAAATTTAAGAGTGAAACACAACCAATAATAAACAATAGCAAAGCATGTACTCATACACGATACCACAATCCCCAAGTTTTATAGGTAGACAGAAATAAATACCAAAAAACTACTCACTGTAATCACTGACATGATACTACTTTACATCACAATCACCTTGCAAATCCAAAACAGTAAAACGCCCCTCAAATCTGTGTCTTTTTACATTAGCCAAGTGAGGAGAAGGGCTGAACAATGCACCATGTGAATTTTCTAAATAGCATGTAAAAGGCATGGACTCAATTCACCTTTATTTTCTGGGAGCAGATTCAGTCTCATCGAGACCAAAAAATGACAACGAAATTAATCTCAATTAGGAACTGCAAAGTGCAGGTGAAAAATGTCCCATTGACATGTAGGTACACAATACCAGAATGTCTTATATAATGCACATATCCACAGATGCATGCGTGAGCACACCTGTACATGAAAACTAAAAAAAGAGGAAATAAACTTTACTTTTACATAATATGCAGATTTACCCTGATGTCCTCATTCAGATCAGACTTCATACATTTATTTGTCACCTATATACCACCAGGTCCCCTGAGGGAGGAGATGGAGTTCTACAGTGTGGAAAGGTTGACATTGTCACTATCAATACTTAGTTCTTCCACCACAATCCACCATAGTTATTTTTTTTTCAGGTTAATTTATGGATTATACCATTTTAAAGAGTAGAAATTTTATAATAATTTAAAATGTGACAGGGAGTTACCAAGAAAATATTTTGTATCATACAGATGTTTGCATGAATTTGTCATCTCATGGCAAATTACTCAAAAGAGTTGTCAAACTTAAATGAGTTATGTGCTTTCTTTTACAAAAAGACAAAAGTGCTGTCCTTTTCTGTGAAGACAAGTAGCTACAAATAGTATGTGACTCAATAGCTATCTTGGAATATGAACAATAAAAAACTGTCCCATCAAGATAAAGTGATGTTTTAGCAATGTAGGAGAAAGGAATTTCTTTTGAAGGGAAAATATGCTACTATGTAGAGTATTTTAAAAATGGATGTTTGGGAATGTTTCCATCATCACATGACCTTATGCTCAAAAAGATATAAATGCATGACCTATTCAAACTCTCACATAATTCCCTACTTCAAAATCCTAGCGACTGAGTTTTCCAGCTATAAAATAACCTGCCAAATGAATAGTTTCAGTGGGTTTTAGCCCATTTGTTAAAAATATAAAAATGTAACACCTGATTAGTTTTTAGGAACAACTGAAAGACATC